ATGGGGAGGTAAAACACAGGAAACAACAAATAAGGCAGCATCGAGTGAAGCATCAAGCTATTGATTAAGAAATGGAATAAGTCTCTGTAGTGTAGTTTGTGTATTGGGGCTCCTGGAGTAAGTGTCTGGTCAAAGAGTGGAATGATTGTGGATTAGGAGGGACAGGGCAGGACATGCTACCCTTCAGTGGGAGACTCAGCCCAACACTGACATAGGAATTGATGTCTTCATTTGGTGGTTTGGATGAGGGAAGCGTCTGGCTGTCTCTGAATGGCTGAGTTAAAATAGAAAACTGTTTGTTTTTGCCAAACAATGTCTGTTGCAGAAATTATTGACTTCTTTTATTTATCATTTCATTCTTGACCCCTGCTTTGGTCCTTATTTTCATCCTATCCCTGGCTTGACTTTATTCCTGAGTCAGGCTCAATGTGTAGGGTTCAAGGCTCAGATTTGGGATTGGGATAGAAGGCTGGGATGGAGATGAGCCTGCCATGCATACTGATTAGTAATTAAAAAAAGAAATGCCTAATGACTCTTTTTTATATTACACAAAGTATGTGACCATGATCATGTAAATCTCACAACAACCCTCGGGTTAAGTACTATTATTATTTAAAAAGTTAAAAAGAATGTGAATTTCAAAATGAGTTCCTAAAAACATTCTGGTGGTAAAAAAAAATTCAGTAATGTAGATGTATAATATGAAGTGTGTATGTCATTCTACATCTCTTCATATACATTTGTGTGTGTATACATATAGTTTGTTTTTTTACATAAATGGAATTTCATGCTCTGTGATCTGATGATGTGATAGTTCATTTAATATATCTGGGAAGCCTTTTCATGTCTGAGCACATGTATCTGTCTCGTTAAAAACACCCACAGCTGTTTATTGAGGTATACATGCAGAGAAGTGCACCTATTTTAAGTGAACAACCCATTGAATTATCATGCTTCATTCTTTTTAAATGACTAGGATTTTTCTCCCTAGTTTAAAAATTAAGGTAGTACATGCTCATAGTAAGAAACTTAATGGTGGATAAGGATGTAGAGGAGAAAATCAAGACTTCTAATCTCCCCATTCTTAATCTCCAGGAATGACTACCATGAAGAGGTTTTTTTTGTGTGTGTTTTTTTTTCCCCAGGAAAAAAATTAATAGAAATAGAATGACATTATATGTGCTCTTCTGCAATTTGAGGTTTTCTGTTTAATGTATCTTTCATAGCTTTCCATATCTACTGTCACTGATGTATAAGAGGGCATTCTGTACTATCATTCTCATTTTAGGGATGTGGAAAGGATGTCAGAAAGAGGCTGAATAACTTGTTCTAGGTCTCCTAGCTAGAAAGTGATGGAGATAGGATAGGGTTCCACCCTCGCCTGTCTGATCCCAAGAGCTTCCTTCCCTTACCCACATTGTACTTAAGTGACAGATATTCTTCCTGGGTCCTCGTGCTGCTTATAACAGAGACAGCTTTTAAGTGGAGGTTCTTGTGTTCTTACTGTCCTTGCTGTGTTCACTGTTGTTGTTTTAAAGGGACAAATGAAGCTCCTTTACAGTGACAGTAGACCAGGAAACCAGACCTTCTTTAGCTTGGTGCATGGGAGGAGTGTGGTTTGGAGGTCAGAGGTTGTGGCCTCCAGTTCCAGTGCTGCCATCAACCGGCTGTTTGGCTTTTCTGGGCTTCATTTCTTTAGCACAGAACTGCAGAACCTTAGGTCCTCACGCTCCATGCAAGGAGTCAGGGGGGGAAGGATTGGTGAGTTTGGTTCATCGTGCACTTTTCACAACCCTTTGTGGTATCTGGCATATAGTACACGCTCAAAAAGAGATTTGTTGAATGAATGTTTATTAGTTTCCTGGAACTGCCATAGCAAAGTACCACAAACTGGGTGGCTTAGAACAACAGAAGTTTATTTTCTCACAATTCTGGAGGCCAGAGTCTGAAATCAGGATATTGGCAGAGCCAGGCTCTTTCTGAACCTTTCAGGGGAGAATCCTTCCTTGCCTCTTCCTAGCTTCTGGTGGTTCTGGCAGTCCTTGGTGTTCCTTGGCTTGTAGATACAGCACTCCAGTCTTTGCCTCCATAATCACATTCCTTCCCAGTGTGTCTTGTCCAAATTTCCCTCTTCTTATGAGGACACAGTCATTGGATTAGGGCCTACCCTAAACTAATATGACTCCATTTTAACTTGATTACATTAGCTAGACTCTATTTCCAAGTAAGGCCACATTCACAGGTATTGGGGGTTAGAACCTGAACATATTTTTTTTAGGGGACACAATTCAACCCATAACAGATTGAATGAATGCAGGAATGAATGGTTGAGTGATGTGAATTCCAATCCCCTTCTAAGGATCCTAGCTGTACATTTTCTCAACAACTTATTTGTCCTTAACCCCTTTCTTTGTGTTGTTTCCTCACCATCTATAAAAATGGGTTAACACTTCCTCTACCGATTAATAGGTTGCCTTGTGGATAAATGCAAGAATTGATGTGCAACCATTTTGAAAATTATAAAGTCCCTGTAAATGGATGTATTATTATTAGTATCATTACTATAAAAATGATCAGTCTTCCTCACAAGGAATATAATATCATTTCTATTTGGGTGACAAGAACCAAATAATTGAGAAGAAATTTAAAAGATCACCAAACGAATATAGAGCTATGCAAAAGGAGGACTTGAGCTTAGTTGTTTTGGTCCCTTCCCTGTGAGAAACAACCTGATGTATGTTCATTCTCTCTGGCTACCCCTGGGAGGTTCTTTGCCCATTTTCCCCATTTTGATTACCATTCCCTCAGCCCTTATTTCTCCTGTGGCTGATTGAAAGAGAGGAAGGGAAGGGGAGGTTATTCTGTTGTTGCTGGCTGAACAGAGAAAGGGAGGAAAATGAGATAAAATCTACTTTTGCTTTAGTCCTAAGCCCTTGCTGTTCTTCCTGTTCTCTGAAAAGCCTCACCTCTGCCGCTGGTTCTCTGGCTTCAGCCCCTTGACCCACCTCCAGCCTCTGCCAGTGTAGAACTTCTGTAGTTTGTTCACTTTTCTGCCTTCTAGCCACCTTGTATTGTTCTGTCATGCAACCGTGGTCTGCGTTTTCCAAGTGGCTAAGAGGGGGGAAATGGGAGAGATGTTGGAACGGGAAGGGGGAAAAGGAGAGCAAGGACTCCTGTGCCATTCCGTTTCCTTCCTTGAATTGTTTTTCCAGGTTGCATTCACAGATTGCTCATTTTGCCCCATAATTAGTCTCTGGGCTGGTGAAAAGGAAGATTAAAAATAGATACAAAAAAGGTAGGGGCAATCTGTTAATACCTACCTCCACTTCACCCTTCCAAGAGTCCCTGACTCCTCTTTGCGTACCTCTATTCCTTAACTGTCCTCCTCTGCTGGGAAGAATGATGGCTTTTCCCTACCACAGTCAGGCACTTGCTCTGTTTATTAATCTATACCCTCTCCAGTCTGTTGCATTAATATGGTTTAAGTAAACCTGAGACAATACATGAAAAGCCTTTTTCATTTTAAGGTCAAAAGACAGATGACTTTGTAGTTCACTTTCTAGTGGGATTCTTTATGAGGATCCACAATAGTAGAGCAACATAGTATACATAGTACAGTATAATAAGAATACTTGTGATAGAAATATTATGTATAGTAACATAGTATAGTGAGGAAATCCGATATCAAATCAGATGTCAAGTCAGGCAAGCCTCTTTCTTTTACATAGCAACATAGTGTAGTGAGGTGTACTTGTGATGGAAATAGTACACTTGGAAACAGCTTTGCTAGTAAGGCTCCCTCACTGTGGAACTTAGACCCCTCACCCTCCCAAAGCTTTTATCAGAAAGAATGTGTCTATCTCTCCACCTTTTTTTTTTTTAATTTCAGAGACCTTGAAAGTAGTAACCTTAAAAAAGAAAAATTCTGAGCCCCAGTCACCCTTCCTGGGGTCTTGCAGTCCTTTGCAGTGTATGTGCCTGCCAATGCTTAGTCAAGAGGATGGTAACAGTTGCTTCATGAATGGTGACATATGGGTATCTCTAAACACAGCCATGTTAAAGATAAATGTGTGAGTGGGCTCTTCCGGGGTAGCAGGGAAGGGAGTGGAGGTGCCATTTCAAATGGTTGACAGTAGCAGTAAAGTAGTAGACCATTTGAGTTGTGAAACGTGGATAAAAGGGAGCAGTAGGAGGATGTGCAAATGAATTTTTAAGTTCTATTAAATATAGTGCAGAAAGGCAAGGACTGTCAAGTTTGAACATTTTTCTGTTAGCCTAAGGAAATAAAAAATTCCTTATTTTTTGCAAGAAAAAATCCCTTAGGAACAGTCTATTTTTATTGTTTATAATGTTCAATGAATAAACAGGAGTGGATTTTCATTATTTTAAGATGTAGTGAGTAGCCCTAAGCAATGGAGAATTATACAGAAATAAAATAGAAGGTTATTATAGGGTGCTCCATATCTAGTTTTATTTATGTGAGGGATGCCCCTACCCCCCAATAAAACAGTAGCAAGTAGAGTAAGAATATCAGTGTGGGATACCAATACCCCGGGTATCTGTATAAGATTCTTGGAAGTGTATTTGAGCACTAATGTTTAAAAGTTGAACATTGATTTGTTATAAGGAGATACAATTCCTCTAGAGCTAAAAACATATGTACACTCCTAATTACATAACTACTTAGTTTTTAAAGAATTTTAAAAGTCCTTTAACACATAGATTAAATATTATATGTAAAAAATTAAATTTCAAACACATTTTTATTTGCTGAGCTTATTCAAAGTGATATGTAGTTAGCAAATCTCAGTTTTTCCCGTTAAGCGTGTGTTTTTATTTATTTATTTATTTATTTATTTATTTATTTATTTATTTATTTATTTTAAAGATTTTATTTATTTATTTGACAGAGAGAGACACAGAGAGAGAGGGAACACAAGCAGGGAGAGTGGGAGAGGGAGAAGCAGGCTTCCCGTGGAGCGGGGAGCCCGATGCGGGGCTCGATCCCAGGAGCCTGGGATCGTGACCTGAGCCGAAGGCAGACACTTAATGACTGAGCCACCCAGGCGCCCCAAGTGTGTGTTTTAAGCACACTTTTGACGAATTGTTTCTAGTATTTCATATGTTTTTATTTTTTTCCTCCACAGTTGAACACAGCTGGAGAGCTTAAGTCTATAGGCTAAATATTTTCGCCATTCTTGATGGGCCTAATTATTTTCATTCAGCATTATGTATTTCATATGATACTATGTGCTGGAATTAACACTTTCATTTTTCTCTCTTCTGTTCATTTTTATAAAACAAGTCTGGAACATTAGACGATATTAAAAACCTGAATTCTATTGTACAAAGACCGTGATGCAGCTGAAATTAGTGTGTTAATTGAAAGGCACCATCGTGTGACAGCTCGAAATGTCTATATATTCCAAGAAAGTCCTATTCCGATGTCAAAAAGTATTGGGTGTCAATGTAGGAGTATGAAAATGTGTGCTATGTAGAAGTTGGGGATCACCTCCTACATAGTGGCAAGAATGATGGAGACCTGGTTTCTACTCCTGGCTGTATGACTTTATGTGGGTGATTTCTCTTTTATAGGCCGTGGTTTCCTTTTGTAAAATGAGGGCTTGTCTGATATCCAAGTTCTTTTGCTTCCCTGACTTTTTGAAATTATTATGCTAGCAAAGGCCACTTTGACATTGAATGTGAAAAACAAACTGAGTTTGGTGTCTGGCTATCATCTTGGTGCGATGAGGTGAAAGGTGCCTCTCAGAGTCACCCATGGACACCAGACTCTAATATCCCCTTAGAAGCCCACGCTTCAGGCTGCCACAGGAACCTTCAGAGGAACTGCTGGGAGTTGAGATGTGAGGCAGAACAGAAAAGCAAGGACGGTGTAGGGAGCCTGATTTGGGATCAGGCTGCATGGAGGGCTGGTTTGCTTGATGGGCCTCTTCTCCCTGGAATGATCTGCCTCTGTTATGCCTGAATATTACCTTCATGTAGTCGTCACACTGCCTAAAATTCTGACAGTTGGAGATTGTCCACGTATTAAAATGTTTGGCTCTTTGGGAGGGTATGAAATCATCGAAATATGTTGCTTTTCCCATTCTTACTGACTTGAGAACACCTGCTCTGATGGACAGGATTCTTTATGCTGCAAGGGGGAGATGGAAGTAACTGAGCTTCTATGAGGTCAGACAAGCCTGGATGAAGGGAGTGCAGTGAGGGGCTTACGTGGGGTGACCATGTAATTTATCCTCTACACTTTTGAGCGTGAAGGGATGCTTTTGATAATTTTGCAGAGTCAACGGGGATAAACTGGGTCTGTCTGGGGCAAACAAGGCCATATGGTCATCGTAGCTGAGGGCAGTGTGAGCAAGCCCAGGAAATAGAAGAAAGTTTCATCAAGTATGGGGAAGATGCCAAAGAATACAGAAGCTCTTTCAAACATTTTCAGGCAAAATGCAAGAGAATTGATTTCTTCCTCTGAATGCTGCTTTTTGTGGGCCCTGTGGTTTTTGCTGGAGAGAAAATGTGATGTAGTAGGAAAGGCAGGGGATATAGCATTAGGCAGACCTTCCTCTGTTCTTTGTTATCTGTGTGGCTCTTGGGCATGTTACCTCATTAGCCTAATTTCTTCATTTGTAAAATGATGCAGATCTGCTTTCCAGGGTTGTGAGGATTGTATGAGATAAAGAATGTTAAGTGTCTAGGACCTAGTTAGACATTCAGTAAATGTTAGTACCTTCTGTTTTTTCTCTTTCCAGAAATTAGAACGTTTAGTACCTTGTATCAGTTATATTGTAAAATAACCTGTGTGCGTTTGTGTGTGTGCGTGTGCGTGCGTGTGTATGTGTCTGTGTGTGTGTGTATGCATGCACCCGTGTGCATGTGCATGTGGGCGTATGTAGTCTGGTCATTTAATTAATCCACAGTTACAGTGTTAATGCCACAGGAGATTTTGTTCTCTTTTCAACAGACAGACTTTAGGTACACAAGCTGTTCATCAATTAGTGCCTGCACATGATGCTAAATATCTGGTTTAAGTCCTGCTTCTACCGCTAACTGTGGTGTGACACTGGTTCTCGGGGGCCTCATCTGTGAAAGGAGATGGTGAGCAACATTATCTCTCATACCTCTTCCTGTTCTCTCGTCGTATAAGAGACCCAGCCGGTGGAATTCATTGTATGTTAGACCATCTGTGACTGTTTTCATTGCCTGCCTGCCTTCCTTCCTCCCTTCATTCTTGCTGTGGGGAAAATAATAGTTCAAATAATTTAGAATACTGATCTTTGATTTTGTTCTTTGCTATAGTATTAAAAAGACTTAGATCTCTAAAACTTCTGTAAGGGAAACTAGCTGTGCTTTGTAGTGCAGATTTTGTGCAGTGCACTAATTTTTAAAAATTATTGTTAGGAAGGATTTTTATGCCCTCACATGGGTCCTTTAATGCCACTGTTGGATAGAATGTGTGTGTGTTTTATTCCTTTGTGGCTGATTTTTGTTTACCATTCCTACCCTTTCCTGCCCCTCTTCCATAGAGCATCAAGATTATGTTCCTTAAATAGATGTTACTGGTCTGTTTAATCATGTTTTCGTTATTTTTATACCTCCTATCTAGAGCAACTCATTGCTGTTTTTATGTGATTAGAGCCATCTCTGACTAAATAAACGCCTTTCTGTAACTGATAACTTTCTGATGAATTTTTAAAATGCTGCAACAGTGAAGAGCCTTGCTATGCTTCAACTTTAAGCAAGTTTGTATGTTTTTTTTAATGAAGCTTCTATTTATAGTTAAAATATTCACTTCCTGAGTTCGAAGGGTGAAAAAGGACACTGAGTGAACATTTTATGAAGATGGTCATCTACTGCATTTAAAAAACCTCTTGTAAAGGGCATTTCAAAAGCTGGTTGGTAACTTATTCCTGTGACTTGCAAGTTTCATCGCCAGGAAGTTCCTTCTTTTGTATCAAATATGAATCCCTGTCCTTGCAATTTAATCACATTCTTCTAGTCTCGTCCTTAATGGAAAAGAAGTGTTCCCTTGTATACGCTCCTTAAAAGCTGGTTGGTAACTTATTCCTGTGACTTGCAAGTTTCATCGCCAGGAAGTTCCTTCTTTTGTATCAAATATGAATCCCTGTCCTTGCAATTTAATCACATTCTTCTAGTCTCGTCCTTAATGGAAAAGAAGTGTTCCCTCGTATACGCTCCTTCATAACCTTGCAGGTGGTTGTGCAGCCAGACCTCCTCCCTTAGCCATCTTTTATCTGTCCTAAGTAACTGTATTTCCTTTACATGTCCTCTTAGGACTCATTTCCTAACATTTTAATCATTTTAGTCGTGGATGCTGTCCAACTTCTGCTCATCTTGCTTGGGTTCAGGTCCAGAATAGCTCTTAGCGTGGTAATAAAGTTCTGAATAGATCATCATGCTGCGGCAGGCTATCACACGATCCTCCTGAGCATGCTGCTTGTTTTTACTTCCTGATGCTATGGATCTTTAAAAATAACTCACTGTATTGCTGATTCATACTTTGCCTAGACCCTCAGAGTTTCTTTTATATGAATTTGCTTTCCCCCTATCCTTATATGAGTGGTTGGTTTTTACTACCTTTCTAATTAAACTGCCTCCTGTTGTTTCGATAATCCTTATGGTAGCGTCAGCAATTTGCAGCGATCAACAGGAACAGAAAAGTGTCAATCCAAAATGCTCTCTCTTTAATAGACATTTGTAATTAAATGGATGCTTGTTCTTAAACACATCTATAATCTGTTTATCCTCTGTCCCCATTTGATATTTGATTGTTCTCTAATTAATTGTGTTTTAGTTTTGTCTCCTGAACCAAGTTGTAAGTAACTTGAGAGCAGGAACTCTTGTGTTTTATATCTCTTTTCTGTTCTTTACTGTTAATTAGGTGTTCAGTTCAGTAAGTACATCTTGATGGGGTTGATAGATTCTTCGCATTCCAGAATCCCACAGTCCACTTGAACACATTCACATCTTCATAAGAGAGACTGCCTAACCACATGTATATTTTTGATGCACTTAATCATATTCAGTTCTCCATTATTTAAGTCAGCAATGAAAGTATAAATACCAAAGGCTGGGTAAACCCTCATGAAACTTGGCTGTAATTGGATCCTGAATAACAGTTCACTTGAGGGTGACCCTTGAAACATTTGTGTTACACCCACCATGGTGGTCTGGAAATCATGTTTTCCTAGTTTATTAGAAAGAATGTTCTGCTGAATTGAATCAGAAGCCTTACAGAAGTTAAAATATGTGATCTGTTATCTCCTATCCCCCAGGCACCTCATCGTTCTGACATAGAGGAAAATGAAATGAATCTAATAGGAATTAGCTATCCAACAGTCATGTTGATCTTTACCAAACACCTTGTGATTTCTCTGCTTGCATATCTACTTTTGGAATTCAAACATTACATGTAATAAAGGCCTCTGTTTTGATGCAGGTTATCTATATACTAAGTAATATCTGTGGTAGGTAATCCTATGGATGGTAGGAAGCACAGGTAATGATGTGGTTTGAAATAGCACCTCCACATTCTAATTCCCGTAAGAGGCAATGTGCACATTCAAAATAAAATTTTGGGGGTGGGGGGGAGAGGAAGGCAGTTAGAAGAATAAATTAGCCACAAGTGACTCTTTCCAATTCTCAAATTATAGGACCCCAGACAGGTCAGATATCTGCAAGACTGATATTCTGTGACTGCTAATGTAGCAAATAGTTAACTCTAATGCATGGAAATACCTCAAGTTATTATTACTTCTCTCAGGAGGCTAAGCTATGTGATAACCTACCAATGAGTAACACTAGATCCACCTAACATTTCATTATAGATGAAAGAGAATGGCATATCTCGAGGAATGGCACATTAGGAAGGCTTGGTAACTTTAGAAATGTGTCACGCTGTGGTTTTTAGGTATGCAGTGAATGAAGAGCCTTGTGTGGAAGGGGTAAAAATGCTCTGTGAATACTTACGTAAATTTGTGTGTGTTGCTAGGTTTATGTACGTTTCTTCTTTGTGATCCCAGCTTTCCCTATTTCCTGGACTGAGAAGCAAGTTTATTTTTCACATTAACCTGATATGTAAATTGGTCAGCCCCCACTGGTGGCTTTTTTCTCCTTCCAATTTAGTGGTGTCAGGTCAGTACCTGGGCAGGTGGTACCCATCATTAGCAATTAGCTAGTGTCTTGTCTGTAAATGCAGCCATGCTCTAAGCCACCCAGCCCTTCTGTGACTGGGGTTTTTTGACCAGATTGGGATTTATTTAACGTTGCTTAGTTTAGTGATATATGTTGAAATTGAAAATGTATGAAAACAGAGATTGTGGTTAATGCATGCATGTTATCAGTCATTTGGTACACATTTCTTCTCTGTACCTGGAGTGAAAGGTCACCATTTCTTGGCACTTTTATCAGACATACTGGGATATTAAGCCAAAGAATAGAATAGGTGGGTTAGGGGCGCCTGGGTGGCTCAGTTGGTTAAGCGACTGCCTTCGGCTCAGGTCACGATCCTGGAGTCCCGGGATCGAGTCCCGCATCGGGCTCCCTGCTCGGAAGGGAGTCTGCCTCTCTCTCTGACCCTCCCCACTCTCATGCTCTCTATCTCATTCTCTCTCTCAAATAAATAAATAAAATCTTAAAAAAAAAAAAAAAAGAATAGGTGGGTTAAAGATAGATTGAGGACAAAGCTGATGTATAGTTTGATACTTAAAATCAATTTTCCTAGTCAGTCGAGTGTCATCTGACAGGTATGCTGAGTTGCTAATTATTGGGAGCCATATACTGAATAATACCGTCTGCATAGGTGGGAGTAATTAGATCGCAATGATATATCTGTAGCTTTAGGATGAAAATAGTAGCAATTTTAGTTTGGCCCCCAAATCACTTTTACATGGTCATGAAATCATTTTAAGAGCTGATCTGGGACATCTGGATAGCTCAGTTGGTTAAGCGTCTGCCTTCAGCTCAGGTCATGATCCCAGGGTCCTGGGATTGAGTCCCGCATCGGGCTCCTTGCTCAGCAGGGAGCCTGCTTCTCCCTCCGCCTGCCGCTCCCCCTGCTTGTGCTCTCTCTCTCTGACAAATAAAAATCTTAAAAAAAAAAAAAGAACTGATCTTATGGAACAATGTATATCTGGATTCAAGAAAATAAATTCTTGACTACCTGACCTTAAGGGAAAATATGTAACAGGATGTTTTGTGATCTTGAGTGAACTAATCAGTTGAGCGAACTAATGAACTTGAGTAAACAAATATTTTAGTAACTCTGTTCTGTTTGTTGCATCTAGGTTAGCAATGAATGAATTCATTCTGTTCTCAAATAACTTGTTTTGCGTTGATATCACTGTTTGAAAAAGTAAGCTATAATAAATTTCATAAGCTGGAAAACTCAGCATGCCTTAAAATGTGAAAATGCCAGGCTTCCTTTTATATACTGAAACATGGGGTTAATTGCCTTTATTTTCCACATCTTACAAAGTTCTTGAGTCTCTGGACAGCATACCAGAGTCCTTATTTCTGTGGATATGCAATGTATCATTTACAGTCTCCAGCTGATAAATACCCTTATTTGGCACAAACACATATGATCAAAGGTGATCTGAATAGTATACAGGTTTGATTAATGAATACACTAGGCTTTTCCTTAAGGTTTGAACAAAGAATGGTATCACAAACAGTTTTGTAAATAAAATAAATAGAGGTTAAAGATTGGAACTGTTTCTAGTAGACTGTGCAGCCCTAAATCATTCAAAAGTAATGAAGCAGTTTTCTGAAACAGATTGTGTTTCCTTATGAAGGAAGCCACCTTTGTTCCATGTCACTGATGCATTCTTTATAGGTGAGGTCACCCTGCATTGCTGATATCTTTTTCCTTTCATAAAAGGGAGATGTGGACCGCTCCCAGTGCATTCCATTTCTCACAGTCCATAAAATAAGGCTTAAATGTACCTGTCCATTAAAAGCTTTTGAAGGACGAAAGCCAACCTCAGAGGCTTTGTGAACCATGAATTGACAATAAAAGACAGTATGCTTCTGTTTTTCAAATAGCCTGTTTAAGGACAAAAGAACTATTCACTCCT